GATGTGACAACGTTGGGACAAACCCAATGCAAGAAAATCCTTTTAAAAAGTGTGTGTGTGTGGGGGGGGGGGGAAGATCGGATCTTTTTTTGTATTGTAAATTGTAATTCTCCAACTGATGTTACAATTCCACAAGGCCAATTTAATCAAGATAACTATAAACTTCCTGACTCCCATAATTGTCGTAGCGTAGGTGTGTTTTTCTTTTTCGTCCTCTCTGTTGCAGTTTCAGATGAGAATTAGATCTCTGCTTGGAAAAGATTCTGGTATTTTATTTTTTTGAAATTTTAATGCTCTAAACCATCCTTAACTTTATTTTCGGCAATCAACACATGTTGAAATAGTTTGGCCTTCCTTCTCTTTCAACTGTTTTTTTAAATGGGGGAAGAAGGAACATTTGGGCAACTTAAAATTAACGGTCTCTTTTAAACAGGGCCCTGTTTTGATGATGCCAATAAATTAATTATAAGACACTAATGGGGGGTCTTTTTCAGTGAATGATGACATGAGTAAATTACAATAACAAAGCACAAAACGACAGCAATCAGGTCTAAAAGGTTTATTTCTTCAAACCCTTCATCAAACATTCAAACACATAGAACTGCTGCTGTCTCATCAGATCTACTACAATGAAAAGAAACTCATTTAAGGTACAGCACAACGTTAACATCACAGATTTTTTTTTATATATTTGTCAGGATTAGATTTACACATTACAAGCGGCATGATCCTTAAACATGTCGGGTGATGGGGGTCACCGGTAACTCCATGCTGGGTGGCCGAGCGGTCTAAATTGTCTCAAACCAAATAGTTGGTGGTCTGGAGTTCAATCCCCACCAAAGCCAACATCCCAGCACCCCGGGTGGATGGGACTCGTAAGCCTTGGACGGCAACCCATCTAAGAGAAGGCAAACTCTGAATTCAAACCAGGAGGCAGAATGATCAACAAATTGATCGTGGGCCCCTCAAATATAAGAACAACACTTTTTTTTAGCAATATTATTTACAAATATACATATATATTAGATTTTTATGTATACATATATATATTACATATGCGGTCATACATCTAGGCTATTTATTCCAAATGTAATTAAATACTATAAGCTCCGAATGGAGGGTCAGAATTTTGCAATGAGCCATGGAATTTAAACAAATTTAATTTGATATGAACCTAACTGTTCAGACCAAGTTTGTATTTCACATTAACTTTTGAAACCTCGAAAAGTTGTGCAACACATGTATCATTGTGTTTACTCCAACAGTCCTTTAGTTGGCTAGAGTATTTGCTAGAGGCAAGTACCCGGTGATGAGCATTGTGGGCTAGAAGAAAGAGCAAGGTCAACATCCATGTGTGTATTTTTGTGTTGAGATTTGAAGGGGGGGGGGGGGGGGAAATTTACATTGACATTTTAATTTAATTCATTTTTTTTTGTACAGAAGTTAAAAATAATTGTTAAATCAAATTGAACATTTCATGGGTATCCATAAGTACCTGTATCTTCTCAAAGATCAGGTTTTTCTTAAAAGCCTAACCTGTACCACATTTACAAAGCAGTGAAAGCACATTTAATGAAATTTTTTGTTTTTCCCCTTCAAATGTACAAGATAGATAACCCATTGTAAAAAAAATGAGAGAAAATAAAGAAGACAAAAATGTACACAAGTGACAGGAAAGTCAATTAAAAACAGGTTATTTCAGGCTAGACAAAATCACTAAATGCATCACAATTTGGCATCGTTTCCATGCACATGGGACTTGGAATGTAGCTGTATTTGCTTTTCTTAGTTTATAAACAACTCTAAGATATGAAATAATAAATGAAGGGACTGCTTTGAAGCTATGTAAATGAATGAAATAGTGAAACGAGGTATGTGGAAGCTTGAAATAAGGTAACAGGACAAAAAACAAGGACGTTTCGGCATAAAGCCTTCCTCAGCCAACAATAGAAATGAAAATATAACAAAGAAAAGAACACAGTAGACAACTCAAGCAGTATTCATTCGTCTCTCCGGAAGTGGGAAAACAGGAAGCGAGAGAATATAAATATTGACACTGTGAAAAATAAAGATATGAAAACTCTAAGATACGACAATGTATCAGAAGGTAAGTTGTGATTGGTTTTTTCCTGCTTTTGATGTAAACCAGAAGAAAACTATTTTTAAAAAAAAAGTGAATTCTGTTAAAAAGACACAAAACACTTTTGTACAAATCTACATACACTTGTGAATGGTTTCATCTTGTTGCTGCTGCAGGGTCTGGTAACTCTTTTGTGACACGGTTTATAAATTCATTTTTCAATCTCGACGAACCTGTTTGCTTCAAACCCATTGATGTGGCCATTCTTCATTTTCTGCGCAAAAAATTCAAATCCATTACCATCTTCTATTTGAAAGTGTTCTTCACAGAATTCCTTTATCCTGTCACAGGCTTCAATAACTTTGTCTGTTGGAACTGTCAACACAACACGGAAGAAGTTCGGATACTGGAAGCACTGGAAAGATATGCATAAGAATTTTGTAAATATTTATCCATAATGGGTTACGTTTATTTAAAAGCCTATGGGAATAATGTAATCATATTATTATTATCATTAAAATCTATAACGTAGAAGACATACTAAATGATTACTTTAGAACATAAAAGAAAACTTACCGATGCAGGCAGGCAGAACACACTTTGCTCTGTAATCATTTTTTGGGTGAAATCAACATCTGATTTGAATTCAGGGAAATGTTTCATGTCTATCCCAACCTGATAATGAGATTTAACTTGAAAATTTTAAAAAATTGATTAAAATAATTATGTAGTAAGGAATGCAGAAGAAAGGGATTTGAAAGCCATAGTAGCATTTTTGTGATAACAGCAATAATAACAACCTTGATAATTACCGACACATCACCAATCAAGACAAACCACATCACATCACTACAACAATTAGGATTATATTTTTTATTTATTTAAAACTCACCATCATATACATGGCTCCTTGTGGCATCACAGGATGTAGGCCGGGAATGTCACTGAGGTTTTGATAAAACAAATCAGCATTTGTCTGGAAAGAAAAAAATGTTATTGAGATTTTATTTGGAAAATTAGATGATTAATGCTAATTAATTAAGGTTAATTAAAAGTTATGAAAAAGAAAATATATTTAAAACTTTAAAAAATAAATGTTAAAACTCCATTTAAGATTTCAAGTTTTCAACGCAAACTTACAAGTAATAAGTCATGAAACTCAAACCTAACAGAAAATGTGAACTGCACTACATATCCAACTTACTTGAAGATATTTTAATGTGAACTTCACTACATATCCAACTTACTTGAAGATATTTTAATGTATCATCAAAGAAACTTTGTGGCGTGTTTTTGAGAATCTCAGGGAGCGCTGCCTGGATAAGTGTATTGGGGCCAAGAATTCTCTGAGACAGCTTCAGTAGTCCAGTCCGGACCTAGATTCAATAATTTCCCAACATCTTAAGACATATCTTCTTTTGGGTGATTATGTATGAAGCATATAATAACAATTGTACACTTCTTAAAATGATTATGAAATTTTAAATCTTTTTGTAAGCAGACTGGTGTACAGCTATGACTTCAAGCATGCAGAGTTTTCTCATTCATTTTATACCTGTGAGAAGGCATCATGTCTGTCATTGATGACAATCCATCCCAGTCTCCAACCAGGAACCAGAAATCTGAAAGTACATGAAACATTTCTTATAATATTGACCAAATATATAACAGCATGAGAAAGCATTTTTTTTTTTACACATAAAGAGATGGGTGTATGAACAAAAAAATATATGTTGCTATGTTGATTTTTTCTACAATGTAGTGCTAAGCTTAAGATTTTTAAAAACTAAATAGTGTAAAAAATATTTTTTGTTTTTAGTTAATTTATGTCCCTTGAAACTATTGTTCATCCATTTAATTCTTAATTCTATTTTGACAGGCAATGCATTACTTATAAAAGATATATTTTACCTTTTGGTCAGCCCACTACATGCAAGTATAGGAACATCTTTAGACAGGGAAGCAAGTGAGTGATATGTCTGACCATTAAAAACCTATTAAAGTACAAAAAACATGAAATTACCTTAAAAGTTACTTAAAAAGTGCTAAATTTTCTTACAAAATGAAAAACAGATTAGGCCTAGGCCCTATACTGAAAATTAAAAATTAAACCTAAGTAAAAGTAAAACTTACAAAGTGTTCATAGATCTCATCTGCAATAATTGGAATCTTTTTACGCGCAACAGTGTCCAGAATTTCGAACAAGTGTTCCTTGCTATAAGCAGATCCACAGGGATTAGATGGATTACATACAATGACAGCTGCAGTTTTCTCATCAACTGAACTTTCCAGATGTTCCAAGTCAATTTCCCATGACTTTTCAGGCTGATGAGAAATATTCATAATCATTAAATTTAAATAAGAAGTTTTAAACAACATGATTCTCAAACTGTATCAAAAAATGCTTTCATTGGAACATTATATTATTCAAGGTAAAACAACTGCTACATAATCATATCAAGTCTGTATTTTGAATTAATCTAAATTGTGGATCAAGGATTTTATTACTTTATTTTAGTGGTACATTATATATAGGGCCTACAATTTTGAGAGCCCCTGGTGTAAAATAAATAAATATATATTATTTTATGTGGATATTTTTATCACTTTTTAAATAATTTTTCTAAGTTCATTATAAAATTGCATAAAAATTATTTTAATACAACTTTATTTAAAAATGTATCACCACGTTAAAAGCTGAGGTAATAATTATCAGTGGAAAGTTCAATTATGTAACAGTAACATTGTAAAACAAATCCCATGACTAATGAAATGAGTCTACTGCATAGGCCTAGATGATGCTTATTTATATATAAATATATATTGTGGCAAACTATGCACACATGTTTGTAGAGGTGATTACTTACCAAGAGATCATACTGTTTGACATGGATGCCAAGAGATTCTGCCAGTGTTTTGTACAACGAGAAACCTGGCCTTGGAACCAAGATATTTTGCCCCGGTTCTGCCAGGCATGAGATGCAAAGATCGAGAGCACCAGAGCATCCGCTGGCCAAAATAATGTCCTGTAAACGACAACACAAATTGGAAGCATTGAATTTATTATGTAAAAAAGCTGTGTGCACTCATAAATATCATGTTAAAATACAATATTTGAGTAATACCAGTATTAGAACAAGAAAAGGAAGAGGGGGGTGGGGGGGGGGGGGGGGAGAGAGAGGACCGCCATCAGATGAACATTCACACTGTTTTTGTCAGGACAGTGCTGGGTTGTTGTTTTTTTCAAAAACTTTTTTCGTTAGCTGAACCCAGTACAGTTTAAACTACAATTTTTATCATTATTAATTTAATTTATGAAAAGATCGAGTTGTCTACATGAATTGGTATCAGTAGAATCAATATTTTTTTTTTATTTTTTTTTTACATGGACTCCGCGCAATTGTAATCACAAATAATTGTTTATTGGGGGGAACCCATGGCGCAAAAAGATGTTACATGTCCAAGTTTTTTTGTTAATGTGAACATTTTGAAATATCTTGATTATGGAAGGAAACAAATGGGTCACCTTATATTTAGTAATAAGAAACACAGCAAAAACCATTTAGAAATTTTCTTTGATTTTTCCTTTTTGTCCAAGAAGGCTTTTTTTTTTTCTTTTTTTTTTTTTTTTTTTAATTTATTTTTTTTTTTTTCCGTTTTTTTTTTTTTTTTTTTTTTTTTTAATAAGTTTTTTTTTTTTTTCTTTTTTTTTTTTTTTTTTAAATTCAGTATTACTCTTACCCGTGTTTCTTATTTCCTACTAGACGAATATTTGGTAATGAAAGTAACCTCTCATGAATTCTACATCAAGTAAATCCAGGACATCATATATTTTAACTGTAATTTTGACCCAATCAGACACACTTGTGTTATCTTGATGTAAATTTAATTAAATTCGATTAATAATATTAGATAACTGCCTTTAATCTATCGTCATTGAATTCATAGGGATGTTTCTATGATTACTTTTTCTTTTGCTCCAATAAATAAATTTTCATGTGCTTAAATTTATGGTCACAATGTTTCTGCTCGGATATTTTGCAGATTTGTACGACATTCTCATTCAGATGTTTTGGCGCATTGTTTACTTGTTTATTTTTACCCGTAAATAATTATAGCTTTTTTTTTTTTTTTTTTTTTTTAATGTTTTCTTTGATTTTTTTTTATTTTTTTTTTTTTTTTTTTTTTTTATTTAATTTTTTTTTGTTTTTTTTTTTTTTTTTTTTTTTAAAGTTTACCTTGGCTCCGACTTGAGAAGTAGGAGTGGACACATAGTCTGCTACAGCTTGACGGGCGAACTCAAAACCTGGAAAGTTAAGATCAGTAATGACCTCTGAATTTTATGTGACATTTTTGTCCCCTCTCGATTTATATTAAATTGTAGTGAAATATCCTACGAATGCCCTACTTTATCATAATAATATATGGGGACATCGATGTTGAATGAAAATCAATATGTCTACAGTCTATGTGGTATGCAGTCTATGTGGTCTATAGCCTATGTAGTCTATAGCCTATGTAGTCTATAGCCTATGTGGTCTATAGTCTATGTGGTCTATAGTCTATGTGGTCCACAGTCTATGTGGTCTATAGCCTTTGTGGTCTATTGCCTATGTGGTCTATAGTCTATGTGGTCTATAGTCTATGTGGTCTATAGTCTATGTGGTCCACAGTCTATGTGGTCTATAGCCTATGTGGTCTATATGTGGTCTATAGTCTATGTGGTCTATAGTCCATGTGGTCTACAGTCCATGATCTAACGATGGATATAAGAAAGAAAAACAATGCCTTGTTTGATCTCCAAATGTTGCTCTACTACAGTCTATTTTAACTTGTCATTGTTTGATCTCCAAATGTTGCTCTACGACAGTCTATTTTAACTTGTCATTATTTGATCTCCAAATGTTGCTCTACGACAGTCTATTTTAACTTGTCATTGTTTGATCTCCAAATGTTGCTCTACGACAGTCTATTTTAACTTGTCATTGTTTGATCTCCAAATGTTGCTCTACGACAGTCTATTTTAACTTGTCATTGTTTGATCTCCAAATGTTGCTCTACGACAGTCTCTTTTAACTTGTCATTGTTTGATCTCCAAATGTTGCTCTACGACAGTCTATTTTAACTTGTCATTGTTTGATCTCCAAATGTTGCTCTATGACAGTCTATTTTAACTTGTCAGTGAGTTGCAACTAATTTGAAGACAGACGCTGAAGTCGGTTTAGTGTGGAAACGGTTGGCTGCAATAACCTACCCACGGAAGGAGCGTAGCCGTTGTATTTCCTCTGTCTGATGCAGTCAATGACGGCTTCCTCAACGGTGTCAGCCATGGGCAGGTTGCCGAATGTTGTGGGATCCCCTGGAGGGATAGAAGCATAACATGTAAACTTCGAAAACATTTTTTGTTGTCACATTTAATACCGGCCTGGTGTGTGGTATATTTGAAAACTCAATCCATTCTGTCTAAGCCCCATGTAAACACACACAAAAACTGAGATGGTTTCAAAGGTGCCCTGCTAAGATTGTGTAAAAGATAAAGATTGCTATATGATCTCACCGATGGACAATGCAATCATAGGTTTGTCGGGGTGTGGTTCGATCTTCATGGTGTCCACTATACTTCGAATTGGGTTGAACGTGTTCTCTGCCATCTTGGAGACGGGGATGTTCCAGCCTTTTCGGGCTTTTTTAATTTCTTGAGACATCATGATGTTACTGTGCGTAAATAGAATTGCCGCTTGTACTAGTAGTGTTGTTTTAGAAGACCGGTGTGCTCAGCGAGATCCTCTGGGTTTTCTGAACGTTGATGAGAAACACACCTGCAAATATACGAAATTCAGAGGCTCGAGGAACGTGTCAAAGAATATAAATACATGATAGCAAACAATGAAAAAGAATCATTTTTTGGGAGCAAAGAAGGACGAGACAGAGGTGTGTGATGAGCGGTAATTTGAAAAGAGGCACCGCACGCGGAAACGCTGACCACTGAGGGGGATCACGACCGTGTTCGCCCCGGGGGGGGGGGGTATTGAGCAGCAGACCAGACCTACAGTTCAAGAAATGTTGCATGGCACAGCCCAACAGTTAGAGCAGGTGCCCACTGTTGGCCGTGGACGTCAAAAGCGATTAGCTCGGCCTCCCCTATAGAAGTGTTTAGAATCAAAGAGTTTATTCAGTTGTTGGTTCTTTTTCAATTCAGTGGCACCTTAACCAATCTTCCCATGATTATAAGCCGCTACAGACGGGCACTTGGACCATCGAAGCGTGACGCCGGCACTCGTCTATTTATAACATTGGGCCCACGACTGACTTGTTCTTGATCGGCAAATATCGGTATAACAGCTTGTCTCGGTTTTTTTATTTTTTTATTATTATGGGTTGTTTATTATTGTTCTTTTTTTTTTTTTTACATTGCTTACGCTTCTCAAGTTATCGACCTCCTTCCCCTTTCAAACCTCTAACTTTAATTTATAACATTGGGCCCACGACTGACTTGTTCTTGATCGGCAAATATCGGTATAACAGCTTGTCTCGGTTTTTTTATTTTTTTATTATTATGGGTTGTTTATTATTGTTCTTTTTTTTTTTTTACATTGCTGACGCTTCTCAAGTTATCGACCTCCGTCCCCTTGCAAACCTCTAACTTGACGCGGTAAGTTGCAATAGACATCAAAATAAATAATGCGGCAAGAACAAAATGAGCGTGACATGAACAAAGTGGTTATGACATGAACAAAGTGGTTATGACATGAACAAAGTGGTTATGACATGAACAAAGTGGTTATGACATGAACAAAGTGGTTATGACATGAACAAAGTGGTTATGGCATGAACAAAGTGGTTATGGCATGAACAAAGTGGTTATGGCATGAACAAAGTGGTTATGGCATGAACAAAGTGGTTATGACATGAACAAAGTGGTTATGACATGAACAAAAGCTTTGTGAAATTAACAAAATGATTGTGGCATAAAAAAATGGTTTTGACATTAAAAAAATATTGATGATTTTGACTTTGACATTAACAAAATGGTTGTGACCTGAACTAAATTAAATTGACATGAATAAAAAATGGTTGTGACATGAAGAACATTATTTTGACATAAAACGATTGTGACATGAACAGAATTATTTAGAAATAGACAAAATGGTTACGCGACAACTTCGTGGGGAAAAAAAAGGGGGAGGGGGGGTAAATGACTCTTATAAATTAATTTTAAAATCAGCTTTTGTGTTTAATTGGGTGTGTGTGTGGGGGGGGGGGAGTATGCCATCGCGATTTCAAACAGAAACTTGTTAACAAAATCAAAATGTCAACCAACCAACTCCTCATAAAGTGTCACAACTGACCACGGAATATTTATGAAATGTAGGCCTACTTCAAAAACCGAACAGATGGGTCGTGCAGTCTGAGATGATAAGACTGAGAAGGAAATAGAAAGACAAAAACTCGGTCATGCTATTGAGTTGCGTCAGTAATGGAAGTTGTTTGTCGTCTTTTAGACGGTATTTTTTTATGTGGGTGGGGGGAGGGGGAGGGGATTTATCAGGTACATTAAAACAGCCTTGACCTTGCCAGCGAAGAAAACATCGGCTCTGATTGGCTGGATTCGGTGGCGGGGCCGTGACACACCTCCACGTTGCCAAGTCGTCTGCACCATATGTCTCTATCGGTGCACAAATGAGCTATCTGTTGTCTTGTTTTTCATAGCAAGGGTCTCTCTAAAGTTCGTGCAGACGCGCGGTCACATGTTTTCCACACGTGAAAACTGTATTACCCAAAACAGCGGTCCTCACAGTTAGCATTCGTGGGGCTTTTAAGAACGCCGCGAGGTGAATTGATAACATCATGAGGGGGGGGGGCGAGCGGAGGGGGTCATATTATTAAATGCCAAGCTTTGACGACGCAGTGTTCATCTGCCGAGGGATAGTTATCAACTAGAAGTGCTAGGGATTATTACTTTTCATGGTCCACAATACTTAACGCCATCACGGCATGAAATACACCTCGCACCCGATGGTGGTGCGAGCACGCCAGATTTGGTCAACCCTAAATAATTAGTTAGCCCCTTAATTCAATGAATCTGGGAATGTGATATGAACTTTAAAAATCAAACTCCAGAAATATCTGAACAAGTTCATGAACATTGAGCACTTTCGACTTCGCACCATTTTTTTTAAATTTATGAATTTATTTTAATTTTTTAAATTATTATTTTGACGGATGTTGCGGGTAAGGTTTATGGAAGGCCCAAACCCGGGGACGATGCTACACAGGGACGATACTAAATAGGGACGATACTACACAGGGACGATACTACACAGGAACGATAACCCCAGGGACGATACAACCCAGGGGCGATACAACACAGGGACGATAAAACACAGGGACGATACAAAACAGGGACGATACAACACAGGGACGTTACAACACAGGGACGATACAACACATGGACGATACAACACAGGGACGATACAACACAGGGACGATACAACACAGGGACGATAAAACACAGGGACGATACAAAACAAGGACGATACTACACATGGACGATAAAACCCAGGGACGATACAACCCAGGGACGATACAACCCAGGGACGATACAACACATGGACGATACAACACAGGGACGATACAACACAGGCACGATACAACACAGGGACGATACAAAACATGGACGATACAACACAGGGACGATACTACACAGGGACGATACTACACAGGGACGATACAAAACAGGGACGGTACAACCCAGGGACGGTACAACCCAGGGACGGTACAACCCAGGGTCGGTACAAAGACGGCTACACATTATTAATCATATAAATAATTCGAAACATTAAACATATGTTCACTAGTGCAATGTGTTTCTAAATTAAGATATCTCTTTGTTAGTGTTGTCATAAGGAAGATACTCTACGAGTTATTTTGACACTTCATTTTTGTAGAACATTACCCCCTTGTTGATGCCAGTTCAATAATTATGTCAAACTTATCCTATCACAAAAGCCCGTAACTGACGTAACGGACACGTCACGGCACTGATAGCCAGATTACTTTTGCAAGTGAATCCTAATAAAAAATAATACTAATAATAATAATACTAAAATTGTTTTAAAATATTTTTAAAATGCTTCCGTAATCTGGGCTTTAGACAGCTTAGTTTTAGGGATGTGTTTCCACATGTGTTGATATTCTTCACACACCCCCTCCCCACCAACAGACACACTTAAAACAAGTCTCACACCCCTTACAGATTGTTTTTCTTTTTTTTTTTTTTTCAAATCTGAAAATGAACAAAACTCCATTCGATTGCAACAATTTAATGACTTTGGCACTTTCCATTATAACGTAATTATCGAACAGTTTGGTTCGGTTATTTATGTAACAATCTACATTCGATCACAAACACGGTGCACGGGGCCTTAGCTTTAGCGTGTCTAGCGTCACAAGAGTTTACCAAAAGCAACAAAAAAAAACCAACAAACAAACAAACAAAAGATGCTAAAACAAGTGTGTTCTTTTCATTCGCTATAACTGCGGTTGTGAACACAAAAAAAACAACAACAAAAAAAAACAAACAAAAGATGTTAAAACAAGTGTGTTCTTTTCATTCGCTATAACTGCGGTTGTGAGCAAAAACAAACAAACAAACAAACAAACAAAAGATGTTAAAACAAGTGTGTTCTTTTCATTCGCTATAACTGCGGTTGTGAACAAAAACAAACAAACAAACAAACAAACAAACAAAAGATGTTAAAACAAGTGTGTTCTTTTCATTCGCTATAACTGCGGTTGTGAACAAAAACAAACAAACAAACAAACAAACAAACAAAAGATGTTAAAACAAGTGTGTTCTTTTCATTCGCTATAACTGCGGTTGTGAACAAAAACAAACAAACAAACAAACAAACAAACAAAAGATGTTAAAACAAGTGTGTTCTTTTCATTCGCTATAACTGCGGTTGTGAACAAAAACAAACAAACAAACAAACAAACAAAAGATGTTAAAACAAGTGTGTTCTTTTCATTCGCTATAACTGCGGCTGTGAACACAAAAAAAATAATAATACCACCTTAATAATGATTATGAATCGTGCAATCGCCAAGTCGTTTTAATTGATTAAAGAACCCTCACCATCGTTGTTGGTACCGGTACCACTGAGTACTGACCTGCCTCTTAGAGCTACCTGGCGTCCGTCCTAAACAAGAGAGAGAGAGCAGTGCGAGGCCTGAAGCCAGGAGCCAGACGTTATTAGAAGTAAAATTCAATGTGCCGGCCATGCCACTTTTATAGTTGACATTTGGGATCCCGTCAGTTGTCATCGTGTCGAAGCCGGATCAGCCGGATCAGGCCACCAGCGAACCACCGCCGTCCGCGTCATGAAACATAATACAGCCACCTGTGACGTCTGCGCGCACCTTGTGGGTAGGGTTGCATTGTGCAACAACCAGAAGTTGAACAGAGATGGTCGAGAAAAAAAAAAAATTTAGGTTGTCATCGTTCATTGAATTTAATGAGCTGAACTTCGACTTCCTTGTTCCCGAGTCAAGTGATAGCCTCGAAGTTAAAGGTCATAATTAAAAATCCAAGTGTAGAGTTCAGGTAGTTGGATGTAACCAGTTGTTCAGTGGGACCTGAAGCAGTGATTATTTCGGAAATCTTCCCCTCGGGGGGGCACTTCAGATTTTTTTCGAAAGGGGGGGGGGGGAGTGCCAGCAGTAGTGCCAGTTGATTTACTGTTGGACATATTTTTGCTCCGGGGACCACTTGGCTTTCCCCAAGGGGGCATTGCCCTCCCTCCCCCCCCCCCCGGGGGATATAGCTGAAAGAAACCCTGACCTGAAGATGCCCAATAACGAAATCTCACAAGCTCTAACCAAAACCACAGAAATTAGTGTAAAGTTTTCGGAATCCAAAAAGAATTCTTATTCGGAAGAGTCCGATTAACCTCCCCCCTCCCTCCCTTCCCCAAAACGAGCAAATAGAAACCCCATAGCAACAGGTACACAATTAATCTCAAAACCAAAACGCGAACTCATTTAACAAGAAGTTAAGAACCACCATCTGTGGATTCAGAACTAACTTGAAAACTATCTGGGCCTGCTAGTAGCAGGCTTTGCCTTTAACTTAAAAACTAGATCTAGAATGATCTTTCAGTAACGTGAAACTTAAAACTAGAAAGATCTTTTAGTAACTTGAAAACTTAGAATTAGAACGATTTGTTAGTTACTTGAAAACTGGAAAGATTGCGTCATCACAAATTATCATTTCCTTGTGTCAAGTTCAGTGTCTAAGTACAGGAAATAGAGTGCGGGGGAGGGGGGGGGGCTGTCTGCCCCAGGTGGCACTTTTTTATAAGGAGGGGCGACATTTTTCTGCCGATTGCAGAGTTGTTGTTTCTTCCGTGGAAGGGGGCAGCAAAAGACTTGGGAAAAGTAACATTCCTGGGGATCACTCCGCCAAACGGTAAAACATTCCCGCTAGCTTAAATGCCCGCACAGCGCGTAGCGATTGCACTAATCCTCTAGATGAGATGAAGTCACCGTCTGTGCAGCGTTCTAGCGCACGTCCTCAATTATTGAAATGACCAACTGGTAGCTCCTGACGCAGCTGTACGCGCCTGCAGGAATTGTTAATCTAGGAATGACAGAAGACCCTGGCACGGATTGGACAATGAACCGATGAACAACTGTAACTGCTCTTAGCCCCGGAATAAATTAACATGATGATGGTGTCGTTTATATAGTAGTATGATTATAATCTTAATGGACGTCTGATAACGCTGTATAAGCTAAACTTAAATTGGATAAAATTTTGCAAATTTGTGTTTTAACAAAGAAAAATAATTATAACTGAATCCACCCTTGTCTCTTTATTTTTCACCCCCTCCCCAAACCCCTTTATTTTTCACCCCCTCCCCCACCCCCTTTATTTTAACCCCCCCTCCCCCACCCCCTTTATTTTTCACCTCTCTCCCACCCCCCTTTATTTTTCACCACACTCTCCCCCACCCCCCTTTATTTTTCACCCCCTCTCCCCCACCCCCC